GGGGAAGAAGGGGGGGGATAGGGGAAGGGATGGTAAAGGGAAACAAAGGAAATGTATTCGTTACCTTGCTCATGTAATTGTAACCCCTCTGTACATTATTTTCACAATTAAAAAATATTGAAATACAAAAAAATCAATTATTAGTTTCATTGCTCTATATTCACTCTCATTCACTTTCTTTGTTAGGCCTCCCCTTCCCCCAGTACCTGTTTTAATTTCCTGTCATTTATTCTATGTGTATGTGTTAATTATACCGTGAAGTTTCAGCATGGCATTTAGAAAGACATGCATATATTATATTTTGGTAAAAAACAAAACAAAAAGCCTCTATTGTTTTTTTTTCCTTTCCCCATTCCCCTAATCCTCTATTGAGATTCCTTATATCATCTCCAGAGTTGGGACATGTTTCAAAATTATTTACTTTCTTTCCTTTTTCCTCTCCAATTTTTTTATATATACATACATACATAAACATAAATATGTATATTCATACACATATACAAATGAGTAAACACAAACAATATTTGGCTTGATGAAATCAGCATATATCTTTTTTGTTTGTTTCTAATATTTTTTGGTGTATTTTTTATTGTAAAAACACTGTACAGAGGGGTTACAGTTACATGAACAAAGTCATCAGTACATTTCCTATGGAGCATTGCTGCTTCCTCCTTTGTTTTTCCCCTACCATCCCTTCCCTCCTACCTCCACAACTACCTCCCCCCACTCCTTGCCAAAGTTGTAAAGTTTGTTTTCAACATAATGTCTTGTACGTCTCATTATTACAATGGGTTAACCTGTATACCTATTTACGCATTTTGGTTTTTCCCTTCCCCTCCCCAAATCAGAGAAATGTATATACAAGTTACAGGGCCCCGACATTAAATACAGTGGAAACAGGGGTTATTCTATAGGGGAGGAACATACAAAGAAACAAAAATATCTCATGGTACATTATAAATACATTAGAAACCCTAGGTCTCCTTGGCTCAGGCTGAAATTTTCTTATTTTCTTGAGTCTTATAGAAAGTAATTTTTCAGAAATAGGTTTCTTAAAACAAAACAAAGCTATGTACATATGTCCATGTAAGATGATGCTAAGTGAAGTGAACACCAAGGTATGGACACAAGAGATCTGTCTTCATTGTTATTGTTTTAAATGTACTATGTGATTTCTTTGTTTGTTTGTTTCCTTTCTATGTTTTTTTCCCTATGGCATATCCCCTATTGCCACTGCATGTGATTTTGGAAGCCTGCATCTTGTATATACATTTGTTTAATCTGGGGAAGAAGGGGAATAACAAAATGCTGAAACAAGGATACAGGGTGACCCATTGCAGCAATGGTACCCACAGGACAGTACACTGGAAATGGGGGAGAATGTGGGAGGAGGTGGCAGGGAAGGGATAGTGGGACAACTAGGGAAGGGGTAACAATGATTGACAAGTAATGTACTCATTGCCTTACTCATGTAACTGTAACCCCTCTGTACAAGACCTTTACAATAAAATGAAATTTAAAAAATCATCTCCTAACAACAAAAAATAACACAAAGAATAATAAATCACCAGAGCCTTAGAAGTTACTCAAGACTACCTGAGCATCTAATTCCACAAAAGGATGTATGTTGTGGTGATTTGAGAGACCATGGGAAAAGTCACAATATTAGCATCTCCTTTGATGTACTCAATAAGAGAATCATTTGATTCAACTGAAATAACAATTCTGCTCTCTTTGTTAAGTGGCATTAATCAAGCCACTAATCATCACTGAGCCTTAATTTCCTTTACTGGATAAAGGAGATAATAAAACTGACCTCAAGGTTTATGGTGTTATCAATATCACATCAGCACATACAACACTAAGAACTATGCAGTATCTACTAACATTTTTTAAGTGACAATATAACTCAGGAGTTCTAATCTATTAAACAGCTATCCACTGGGGGCTGCATTATCCATAGTCTTTTTTCTGGCTAAGAACAGTAAGTTGGGTAACTTTTTCAGGGAAAACTTCTTTGAAGTTTATCATGTTCACATAGAAAATTTAGGATGATAATTTGTGGTGTGTTGCCAGGTACTAATGACTCCCACTGTAATCCTTGCTACTCAGGACGCTGAGATCTAAAGATTGTGGTTCAAGGGATTCTAGACAGGAAAGTCCATGAGACTCTTGCCTCTAGTCAGCCACCAAAAAGCCAGAAGTGGAACTGTGAATCAAGTTGTAGAGTCCTAGCCTTGAGCACAAAAGCTCACAGGCAGTGCCCAGGCCCTTATTTCAAGCCCCAGTTTTAGCACTCACACATGTGCCCCATAGCATACAAATCTAAAACAAAACTTTGAAATATGTGAAAAGCCAGCTTGATCAAAATTTGGCAAACAATAAAGTTAGAAGAACGTTGAGTCTGATGATTAACTTCATCATCATGAAAGCTTTTATACTTTTTCTTTGACCAGTAAATATTACAGTTGGATAGATAATGAATGCACTTCCACAAGGTTTCCTCAGGTCTTGTGATTAAATATATATTGCCTTGTCCATGATGTGCATGGAGACAAAACTAGCTCATCGACCTTTCCCATGCCAGGGATTTGTGATCTGGATTTAACCAACTTTCCCTTTACTTTCATTTCTTGTACATTTTCTACTTGAAATCTATGTAGTAACTACACCAGTGCATTTATTTGTGCTTTAACAAAGTAGTGGGGTGGGGTTTTTTTTGCTTTAATTTCTTGTTAATGCACTTTACCACATTGAGCTATTCATTACAAACTATGAAGTATTATCTTTTTCATATCCTTTGGGTTCCTCAAGAACTGGATTAGACTGACCTTCAAGTTTTCTGTCAAAAGAATGGCTGGCTGGCATATACTGGCACTCAGTATGTCATATTATATCATATTACAAAAAACATACATTCACTTTTGTAAATTTACTTTTGTTTTCAAAATCATTTAACTCAGAATTAAATCTAAATCTCAGTCTCTCCTCCTTGAATTTCTTGATCTCTGCTCAACTAGATTTTGCCCGGAGGTGTTCAGTATAGATATTTTGGGTAAAGCTGACCAACTGACTCTTGATAGGTTAGTTGTTGAACAAGGTCTGTATCTAATAATAAGTTCTGATATCCTAATATAGAATATTTGCCCCAGAAAGTGAATGGGGATTTTTGTCTGGCCATATAGAAAACAGAAAGGCCTATAAAATGTGTAATAACCTCTGTGGTATTATAGATGTGCTGGTATAAGAGGTGGAGATGAGTCCTTCTTAGTGCACCCTAGGAAATAAAGTTCAACCAGTATTTGACGGGGTTCAGAGGTGAATGTGTTAATGAGTACGTCCAAGAAAGGAGAGGCAACCTGCTGAATGGACGATATGATCAATTGAGTATTCTTGAGAAAAATGTATAGAAGCACAACAACACAATTAAGTAAAATGGTGTCATCATTCCTACCCTTCACTATTCAATGAGATAAGCCCTGAGTAGTTGTTCCCTAAGAAGAAAATACCATAAAAAATGAGGAATACTTTCCTTTCAAAAGTGTTCACTTTGTGTCTTATCTACATCATCTTCTGCAATTATACATCATGAAGTCAGGGTGTTTCCCTTTGAACCTGGAAATCTGCAAACAATTCTTAATACTATACACTCTGAAGTTGAATTTATGAATCAAAGAAGTTAATCTAAGCTATTAGAATACAAATTTTTATATGAACTCTAAAAAAAAATCATGAACATGGCAAAACTAGGCTTCACATACTGGACCACTTAAACTTGGGTTTTCTTGATAAAGGAGAATTTTAAGAGACTTTCTGCAGATAATTTTAAACTCTAATTATAGATTTGTCACTTGATAGGAAAGTGGTTCTCTAGGGAATTTTTAAACGCCTCTGTAATTGACATTTCTCAATAACAAGATAAAAAGAAAGTCATATTAAATGTAAAGATGATTATGAAAATTAATTAGGTGGTCAATAAATTTCCTTGGCTATATTTATTGGAGGTGAAGGAGACTAAAACATCAATTGAAGAAAGGAGAAATAATCTCTACAATTACATCTCCTTATCTTCCTTACTCCAGTCTCTGAAACCTCTATTCTGTTATAGAAAAATTGACAAATATCACAGAGATCAATATTGTATTCCTTTTTTTTTTCTTGAAATAGAGGGTTCAGAATACAAGGAAGTGGTGGTATAATCATGTGCTTTTATGGCAAAAATTCAATCACAGCCCTAAAATATGAGACCCAAGCTTTTTTCATTCAAGCCCTAATTCAAATTGAATTTCTCATCCACAGACTTCTCCCTTTGGGGAAATTTCATGCATCAATTAATGTGCTTCCTCCAGAACTGTTGAATGATCACAGTTCTCATTACCATTCATCCTTGTCTGCATCACAATTGCAAAAATGTCCAAAGTCCAGGCAGTTCTCCTCCAGGCCACATTCACACTGCTGAACCCCAGGAAGAGAACCTCCCCAGTAAGGGTGTCTTTCATTGGCCCTTCCAATCCACCAGGTAAATGGTGTTCCATCTGAAAGACAAGAGGTTTTACAAGTCAGGGTGTAAGCCTGAAAGAGCACAAGGGACATTACAGAAAGGGAGATTAACTTGTCTACAAATAATATACATTGTCAGGTGCCAGTGGCTAATAGCAATAAATTTATTCCAGAGGCTGAGTTCTGAGGATCACAGTTGAAATAAAGCCCAGGAAGGAAAATCTGTTAGACTCTTATCTCCAATTAACCACACACAAAAAGAGCTAAAAGTGGAGCTGTGACTCAAGTGGTAGAGAGCTAGCCTTGACCAGAAAAGACCAGGGAGAGCACCCAGGCCCTGAGTTCAAGCCTCAGGACCAGCAATAAATAAATTATGTATATATTAGATAGCATAAATATTATTATATTATATATAACTACATATAATTTTTATTTTCACCATATATTTACATGTATAGTCTCTCTCTTCATTTCATTTTTCTATCCTTCTTCCTTTATCCTCTCACTTTCTCTCTTTTCTTCCTTTTCTTCTGTCTTTATTCCCACCCTCTTTCTTGTCCTCCTTTTTTTTTTTGGTTTGACTATGGAGCTTGAACTCTAGGCCTGGGTGCTGTCCCTCAGCTCTTTAGCTCAAGGCTGTATCACTTGAGCCACAGCACCACTTCCGGGTTTCTGCTGGTTAATGGGAGATAAGAGTCTGACAGACTTTCCTGCCTGGGCTGGCTTTGACCTGTGATACTCAGATCTCAGCCTCCTGAGTAGCTAGGATTACAGGTGTGAGCCACCAGCATCTGGTTTCTTGCATTTTCTTCCCTTTACCTCCCACCTTTCTTTTCTCTCTTTGTCCCCATATCCATCCCTATTTCTCATTTTGTTTCTTTCTTAATTTTTCTCTTTGCTTTCCCAACGGCATTGATACAGATATATAGAGTACAAAACAGTCTCTATTTACATATTTATGCATATATATATTCATTATATAAATAACATTTGCCAAAATAATTTATGTGATGTATACTGGCAAGGGTACCAATTCAAATTCTTATCAGATCAGACAGCTACCACAATTGAGTAAATTGGGGTACATTCTAACAAAAATATGGATAAATAACAATTTCCTTTTAAAAACTATCAAAAATAGAAACAATCACTCTCTATATTCAAGATTAGCTTTTGTTTTCAATTTGTGGTGCATAAAGAAAAGGATAGAGATGAAGGTGTTGGCTCAGGTTAGCCTACCTCTCATTGTTTTCTGACATGATCTGACCAACTCTAAGATAAACTCATGTTCTGAACTTTTTAAATGAAATTTCAGATGCACTGGAATGGGAGAAAAAATAAAACTTTGTGATAACCGGGAACATGTAAGCCAAATGCTTTCTTCTGAAAGCCATGTTTAACCCATCTAGAGCTGGTAAATTATCTATAATTTATTTTATATGGTCAAAAAATGATTTTAGTTTTGTAATTTTTATATTTCTTAAAAATTAATTTAATAAGATCTGTTTTATCTTTCTTAATGATTGAAAATATCAGAGCCAATTAGGATGATTATTTAGAAAATAATATAATATCCAAAATAACAGGTATAGAGATCAGCAGTTGCTCAGGCATTGGATTCCACTAATAACTGCTGCATTTCTCTCATTTGGCTGATTACAAGGTGCTTAAAATATGCTTATTTTTAAATTTTGCAATATCTGTATCCAGTAGAAAAGTATAGTTTGAGATTCATCTCAACCTAGTAGGAATAGCAATTACTAAAACTCAAAAACAACTAATAACAGCAAGGATATTAGTTAAGGATGGAACCTTTATTTGCCAATGATAGAAATCTAAGTAAATACAACCACTTTGGAAATCAGTATGGGGAGTCCTAAAAAATAAAATAAAATACCATGTGATTCAGTTATAAAACTTTCAGGTATACATGCATATGAGTAAAGTCAGATTACTGTAGATAGAGACACCAGCATACTACTGTTTATCACTGCACCATCTAAGTAACCAAGCTATTGAATCAGCCTAGGTGCACATGAATGGATGATCTAATAAATAAAATGTGGTATATGCAGAACAGTATATTATTCATCCATAAAGAGTTAAGTTAGCTCATTAGTGGGAAAGTGGACTGATGATTCATTATGCTAAACAAAATAAACTAGAGTCATCACTGGAAAACAAGTTTAAACATGTTTTCTTCTGTGTGGAGTTTGTAGATTCATTCCTGAAAATAAAATTGGTCTATTACAAATGATTATTTTTATTTTAGGGTTTTTTAAATTCTCTTTTTACTCTCTCCCTTTTGGTCCTTTTTTTCCTTTTCTTAATTGATATTCTTTTCATCCCCAGATATACGCATGTCTTCAATTATTAGATCTTATCCTTCATTATATGCATACTTAATTCAGATATTGATTACTTAATTCACAAACACTCAACCTTAACTCTTTTCATTATAGTATTATTTCTTTAAAACATATAATTTTTAAGTGTTTCATATTTAAATTTTTTTATTTTTCCTTATACTTTATCTTTCTTCTACTTTCCTTCTATCCTTTTCCTCTCTCTAAATTTGGGTGTTTGCTATATTCCCTCTCTCCCTTTTCCTCCCCACACTCTTCTAATCTTATTTTCTCCTCACAATTCTCTATAAACCTGTTAATTTCGGGTCTTCTGACTACTTCTTTGATTTTCTTAGTCCACTGACCCCTAGTTGTTTGTTGTTGAACTAGATTGTATCTGTTGAACTAGATTGTATCTGTACTCATTTTGATTGCATCAAACAATCTGTGCAACTACAGGACTCTGGTTGATGCTTGCCTTAAAATAGTGTTATAGAACAGAACTGGTTTGGCTTTCATACCCAAATGGGCAGAACACGCCAGAGAAACACAAGAAAAATGGCAAGTCCAGGTATCTCAACTCCCACTCATGATAATCAGGCAACAGAGCAGTTAATGAATAATCCAGAGGAGAGTCCTCAAAATGCTCTACAAACAATACTGGTAAACATGCTGAATGAAAAGACTAAAAGCCTGCAAAGGAATCTATGTGAACATGATAGGGAAATCCATGAGCATGATGAGGCTAACCAAATACAGGCTAACAAAATACAGGAATTTCGTGAGTTTAAGGAGCTAATCAAAATTAATTGAGGAATTTCATGAGCAGGATGAGAAGAAACAAAGATTAATAGAAGCATTCATGGAATCCACAAGCAGAAAATTGGAGAAAACCATGGAGGCCACAAAGGGAATGCTGAATGAAGCCCAACAGAAGGAAAGGGAGTCCAATGAAACTATTACCAATCAACTAAAGGATTTGAGAATGAACACTGAAAACCAAATTAAGGAAGTAAAGAACTCCGTACAAGATGTAAAACAAAGCTCCAATAAAGATTTTGAAGCCATCAAATCTGATCAATTAGAAGAAAAAGAAATAAAAAATAAAGTACAAACTCTTGACCATAGTTTACACCCTGCAGAAGATTGAATCTCTGGGACTGAAGACAGCATAGACATTATTAGGAAAGAATAGTCAAGTATTCAAGACAAATCCAAGAATTATGATAGCTCTAATTTAAGGAGGAAGGCCTAGAGACAGAAGTGAAAGGTCTAGGAAATTTATTTATTTAACAGGGTCCTAGTGGAAAACTTCACAAATATGCCAAAAGATAAGCCCATTTAGATACACGAATCCTTTAGAACCCCAAATAGACCAGAGCAGAACAGGACATCCCTATTTCATGTTAGATTCTGCACAGGATCAATTGAGACCAAGGAAAGGATCCTTAAAGTGGTCAGGGATAAAGATCAATCACCTATGAAGGAAAACCAATCAGAATAAATTCAGATTTCTCAGCAGAGACAAAGCAAGAAGAGCCTGGGATGATGTATGCCATACCCTAAAACAACCATCAACCAAGAATACTGTACCCAGCTAAATTCTCACTCATAACAGAAGGTCAAATAAAAACCTTCCACAGCAAAGAAAAATTGAAACAATTTATCTTCACCAAACCAGCTCTACCAAAAATATCTAAAAATGTCCTACACATAGAAAACCAACAAGAGCATGGTAAAGGCCAAGATACAGAGAATCTAAGAATCATAGGAAGAACCCAGTTGTCACAGCCCCCACAAAGGTGGATAACATGGTAGGAAATACCAAACACCTCTCAGTCCTAAGTCTCAATATTAATGGACTTAACTCTCCAAATAAGTGACATAGATTGTTTAGTTGGATCAAAAAGCAAGGTCCTTCTATCTTCTAGCTTCAAGAGACAAACATAAAAACAAACATTCTGAAAGTGAAAGTCTGGAATAAAATCTACCAAGCAAATGGCCCCTATGAACAGGCAGGAGTTGCAATACTAATATCAGATAAAATAGACTTGAAATTAAAATGAATGAGAAGAGGAAAGAAGGCCAACACATTCTAATTAAGGGATCTCTGCTTCAGGACGATATTACAATTCTAAACATCTATTCACCAAATAATGAAGCACCTGAATGTATCCAAGAAACACTACCTTCACTCAAACCTCACATAGATCCAAAGACATTAATTTTGGGAGGACTTTAACACACCACTATCCCCACTGGATAGAGCAACCCAGCAAAAACTCAACAAAGAAACATCACATCTAAACAAATGCATAGATCAACTAGACTTAACAGACATCTACTGAATATTTTACCCAGCAGCATCAGAATTCACGTTCTTCTCAGCAACATGTGGATCTTTCTCCAATATAGATCACATTTTAGGTCACAAACCAAATTTGTTGGACTTTAGAAATATTGAAATTATGTCCAGCATTCTCTCAAACCACAAGGGAATAAAATTAGAATCCAACACCAAAAGCCACTTGAGAAAAAAGAAAATCCTGTAACACATGGAAGCTGAACAACACACTGTTAAACCATCAGTGGGTCATGGAAGAGATTAGAAAGGAAATTCAAATGTTCATGATATTTTAAAAAATGAACATACAAATTAACAGCTACTTTGGAACACAGCAAAGGCAGTA